TCTATCTATCTATCTATCTATCTATCTATCTATCTATCTATCTATCTTATCTATCTATCTATCTATCTATCTATCTATCTATCTATCTATTTATCCTATCTATCTATCTATCTATCTATCTATCTATCTATCTATCTATCTAATCTATCATCTAATCTATATCTATCATCTATCTATCTATCTATCTATCTATCTCTTTTATCTCTATCTATCTCTCTATCTCTCTTATCTATCTCTCTAATCTATCATCTAATCTCTCTCTCTCTCTTATCTCTCTCTCTTATCTCTCTCTCTCCTATCTATCTATCTATCTATCTATCTATCTATCTATCTATCTATCTATCTATCTAATCTATCATCTATCCCTCCCTCCTTCTCTCCTTCCATCTATCTCTCAATCAATCACAGTCCATTTTGAATACATAGCGGGGGAAAAGAGTCTTAAGAGTTGACAAGGTTGATGCTATATGACACAAAGCTATCCCAGGATCTAATTGTCCTGTTTTGGATACTGCGAAACCTCCTCCCAGAAGGATAAATAATAATACTGCAGCCACACGATGTGGATTAATAGGCGTTGGCCCCTAGTGTGGCTGCCGTGTTACTGCTGTGCGTAGGTGTGAGTCATAAACCAGCTGAATCGAAAACGACACGCCTGGTCCTGGCTTTGTCACACCTGACAGTCATAAGCGGGTCTGTGAGGGGCAGAATTTGAAGGGAAGTGTTGCAGCGTGTCCTTCCTCGTCTGCCCATGGGCCTCAGGGCACCTCTTTTCCTCCTTAGGATGGGAGTATGGCGTTGCCATCCCACCTGATGAGTTTCCACACTCCTGGAACACAGCTGAGAAGACCTACCACACACACCGGCGGCGACGTTGGCTCAGGAAGCGTTTCCGGAACCTCGGCAGGGAGACTCAACAAAACCAGATGGCCGCTTTTCTCCAGCTGGTACTGAATCTTTCTCGGGGAGTGGGCGTCAGACAGAAAGTCAGCGATGAATGAAGGGAGCGCTTTGGAAGCGGGGACATTTAACCAGGGCCCCGGAGGGAGACTAGAGCTGAGGTAGGCTGATCCAGGGTGCGACCAAGAAGACTTCACTAGAAGCACTGGATAAGATGGTCGCCTTAGCATGAAGCTCATCTATCAAGGAGATGCTTCCATTGAGTCATCATCATAACTTATTAAAATTCTACTTTATTGACGTCCTGCCTTTACTATATTTACAAATATCTCAAGGCAGCCAACATATCCAACACATATTGTTGTTTTTTCCTCACAACAACCCAGGTGGAAGGTTAGACTGAGAGAGAGGGACTAGCCCAAAGGCACCCAGCTGGCTTTCGTACCTAAGACGGGACTAGAACTCACAGTCTCCTGGTGATTGAACCAAAGTCACCCAGTTGGCTTTCAAGGTTAAAGTGGGACTAGAACTCACAGTTTCCTTGTGATTGGCCCGAAATCATCCAGCTAGGCTTTCAAGGTTAAGACAGGACTAGAACTCACAGTGTCCGGGTGATTGGACCCAAGTCACCCAGCTGGCTTTCATAACTTGAACTCATGATCTTCCGTTTTCTAGCCTGGTGCCTTAAACCGCTAGACCAAAATTTCTGCTCAACTGTTGATGGCTCTGGGACACTCACATGTGTTAGATCCAGTTTGGTGTAGCAGTAAAGGAGCTGGTATAGAAAGCAGGAGGTGGTTAGTTCTAATCCCACCTTAGGCATAAAAACCTGCTGGGCCACTTTGGGTCAGTCCTCCCACTCTCAATTCAACCCACTTCACAGGATTGTTATTGTGGGGAAAAGAAGAGGAGGAAAGAGTGTGAGGCGTATTTATGGGTATTATGGATACCCATAAATAAACAAATTGCAACTCTGATCCTTTGCCACTCTACTGTCATAACATCTCTGGGTTACCCGCTTGAGAAAGGCTAAATTCTGGCTAAAATAAGACGTCATAATTGAAAAGTTCCTCCCTGTGGTTTCTGCAGCACTTAGACGTTAAAGCGAAAGAGGATGTCTGGGAATATGCGCCTCTTGACAGCTGGAGATTCCACCTCCAGAGGCAACCAGATGATATTTTTCGGCGACGTTGTTGGCGCAGGAAGCTTGCTCCGGTGGAACCCAGCCTGGTGGCACCCATTTTCTACTTGGAAGGCTCCTTGGTAAGAGGGGACAGCTGTCACGTAACCAGGGTTGTCCAGAGGGTGGGCCAAAAAGACAGCAGTGATTAAAGGCAGATGGACTTCAATTACATGGTTGCAACCTCCATCTGTCATGCCCCTGTTGGAGTCTGAATCCAAGGAGGAAGTCAGACAACTAACAGGGAGTAGGAGTGTGGTTCCATTGGCTGTGGGGGAGGCTGGGGAAGGGCAAAGTCTGGCTGGGCAGAGCAGGGGAGAGGTAGAACAAGGGAGAGGGAGTTCAGAGGAAGACCCAGGCCCACCCCCTCTTCATCCTAGGGCACGCAGGGAGGAACGGAGAAGAGAGCAATATAGGTTGTGTGGCTTATGAGGGAGGAGAGGGCCCTGATTCCCTTCATTAGCTACAGCTGGGAAGACAGTTGATAAGAAAGGCAGGCTGCATGCGGCAGACTGCTAGGAGCAAACGTGACTTTATCCTGTGTTGTTGTGGCTTATCTGTGTTCCTGGCATCTTCCCACCTGTGTGAGTTTTGCCGTGCCTTCAAGCCTGAAATTCTTGCTTCTGCCCTGCCAAGTTAATTACTTCAGTTTGGCTTGTTCGGACTTTACGTTACAGTTTGTGTTGACCATGTTTTGGACTTAATTTTCTGCAGCCAAAGGCTGTTCCTGGGAGAGTTTTTCTCCAGCCAGAAGATAACCTGGACATTGGGGCCAAAGTTGGAGATAATAAAGGGACTCTTATGGATTATCTGACTGTGTTGCCTTTGTGCCACGCCCCGTTGGTTCATCACACATCTTCACTTTTTTTTTATCCTCCTGGGAATCTCCCTGCCAAAAAGAGAAGCCAAATTCAGTCTTTCGCTTTCTCAAAGTTGCATTATGACTATCTCCTTTATTTCAGGGTGTGGAGGTTGGAGACCGGCAGAAAAAGAAAAAACCTGAAGCAGGAAGGAAAGATGAAAAAGAGGAGGTGGAACTAGAACCATCTGCATCCCAAGGTCTCTTGAAGAAGAACACTCCTCTTCTCTACTGCGTCTTCAAGAGTGAGTTCCCAGGACTGTCCTCCTCCAGTTGAGGTTCTTCAGATGGGTTTGGCCTTCACCTATTAGGAAACCCAACCAGTAGGGTTAGAGAAGATCGGCTTATGCAAGGGCAGCCATGAAGGGTGTCCAATTTTATCATTTTGAAAACCATCCTATTTAGTGTCGACAGCAAATTGGATGAGTTCCCCTTCTATTCCTTCATCTAAACCATTTATGAAGATATTGAAGAGTCCTGGGCCTAAGGGGCTGTAAAAATCCTCAGTCCTCCAGGTTACGGTTGTCCCAAAGATACTTTTTTTCAGGAGACAATTGGACTTCCTTGTTTTGTCCTTTGAAGACGTTTCGTTTCTCATTTCAAGGAGCTTCTTCAGCTCTGACAGGATGGGAAGGAATGGAAGGATTGATAATGAGAGAAAGGATTTATAAGATGAGAAGCTAAATGTTTGATAAAGTCTCCTTTTGGGAAACTGTAATGAAGAAGCCAGAAGAAAAATTGAACTCATAAAAAAAAATATTCCTCTTTTTAGGTCCATTGTATTTCCAGTTGCGCTGCTACATGTACCAAGCCAGAGACCTTCTGAGAAGCATTGTGAAAGGGACCGCAGGTAAGATGCCTCCTTCACACCCAGCCAAGATAAAATTAGTTCACCCTTGCTCTCATCTCTGTCTATTGTGAACATCCCTATTCATTTACTTAGAGGCGTACAAAGGCGATAGCAAATTCTACTCCACGCATTAAATTGACCAGTTGACTTTGAGCCAATCACCAAGAGAGGGTGAGTTGTAGTCCCTGCCTTGGCTGTGTAAGCCAGGAGGCTGAATTTGGGCCAGGTCCCTCTCTTTCAACACAACTCACCTCACAGGTGTTGTTGTAGGGGAAATAGGAGGAGGAAGGTGTGTTGGATACATTTGCCACCTTGACCCAAAGGTCCTTTTTTTTTTCAGGAGATAACTGGGTTTTGTTTTTTTTCTTTGAAGACGTTTCACTTCTCATCCAAGAAGCTTCTTCAGCACTGATTTTATTCAGCTCCAATCCCCACCATCCAGTTAAGCACAGTTGGGACAACCATGACCTGGATGACTGAGAATTGCTACAGACTTTTCGCGACACAATTTGGAATTATCACCCTTTGAATGGTGTGGGGGGCAGGAATGGGTTTCCAGCAGTAGTGGGATTCAACCAGTTTGCACCACTTCAGCAGAACTGGTTGTTAACTTTCTGAGCAGTTTGATGGACTGGTTGTTGGAAGGAATCCTTAGGGCAGAGAACCGGTTGTTAAATTATTTGAATCCCACCAGCGGTTTCCAGAGGAAAAAAATTGCAGACTACAGGAACCAGGAGAACTATTCAGGTGACTCTGAGGACCCAAATAAACCTCCAAGTGGCCTCAATGACCCTCTCAAAGGATGCAAATGACCAGCTGTCTGCAAGGAGTATAAATCCTTCCATTCTCCACCATCTAGTTCAGAGCTGAAGAAGCTTCTTGGATGAGAAGCAAAACATCTTCAAAGAAAAAACGAAGTCCGCTTGCCTCCTGGGAAAAAAAGGCACCTTTGGGACAACTATGACCTGGAGGATTGGGAATTGCTACAGACTTTGCAACCTTGAATAATAATAATAATAATAATAATAATAATAATAATAATAATAATAA